CGCGCGCACGCGCACGCGCACGCACACGCACACGCACGCACACGCACACGCACACGTACGCGCACGCACACGCACACACGCACACACGCACACGCACACACGCACACGCACACGCACATGCACACACACGCACACACGCACACACACACACGCACGCGCACACATGCACACACACGCGCACGCACACACACACGCACACGCACACACGCACGCACACACACACACGCACACGCACACGCACACACACACACGCACACACACCCAGGTTCAATTCCCAGCACCCACACGCACACGCACACACACGCAAACACACACACGCACACACGCACGCACACACGCACACGCACACACACACACGCACACACGCACACGCACACACACACTCATACGCACACACGCACACGCACACACGCACACGCACACACACACACGCACACGCACACGCACACACACACACGCACACACACACTGATAGTAATAATAATGATAAATAAATAAAAATGTTTTTTAAAATTGTGGGTCAGTGAGGTGGTTCAGCAAGCCTGATAACCCAAATTCAGTCCCTGAAATCCATGGAAAATGGTAGAAGGAGAGAACCAACTTCCAACTCCCGAACAACTCCTGGGAGTTATCCTCCCTCTGAGTTATCCTGTCTTCTGCACATGTACCATGGTGTATGTATGTTCCCTAACCCTCCTCCACATCACACACACACACACACACACACACACACACACACACAGATAGAAGCAGAAGGATCAACTCTGGACAATAGGAAAAGGAAGTAGAAAAATTACTGAGAAAAAAATATCTCAAGAATGAATTAAAACAAGGGCCAGCAAGATGGTACAGCAGGAAAGGTGCCTTCCACCAAGCCAGACAACCTGAATTCAATCCCCAGGACATACATGGTGGAGGGAGAACATGGACTTCCATGACCTCCACACACATGCCATGGCACATGTACACACACACACACACACACACACACACACACACTGCAAATTATTGAAAGAATAATGGAAAATACAGAAGTGGGGAAGCAGGGCTGCAATCCTGGAAGAACAAATGTTGGAGGCAAACCTGTGGTACAGAGCAAGACCTTGTCACAAAAAATATCAACAAAGCGGGGCTGGAGAGATGGCTCAGCGGTTAAGAACACTGTTCTTGCAGAAGACCCAGGTTCAATTCCCAGCACCCACATGGAAGCTAACAACTGTCCATAACTCCAGTTCCAAGGGATTTGATGGCCTCTTCTGTCCTCTACAGGCATTGCACGACATTGGTGCACTTACATATATGCAGGCAATATACACATACGCATAAAATAAAAATAATAAACAAAATATTTAAAAATTTAAAAAAATCAATCAATCAATCACTCAAGAAGATAACATTAAGAGAAAGTAAAGGTGACTGTGTGTTAAACAGTGGTAACCATTGTACCTTACATATATTAAGAATAACTTTCAAACTTCAAATATTTAAGCTTTACAGTAAGAAACAGGAAATGATGCTTTAAAGAAACAGTGGTTAAGAACACTGGTTATTCTTACAGAAGACCCAGGTTTGAATCCCAGCACCCACATGACAGCTAACAACTGTCCATAACTCCAGTCCCAGGGGACCCAACAGCCTCTTCTGACCTCCATGGGCATTGCACGACATGGGTGTGCTTACCTATATGCAGGCAACACACCCATACACATAAAAAAGTTTTTTTTTAATGTTGTCATGCTGGGTGTGGTGGTGTGTTCCTGTAATCCCAGCACTTGTGAGGCAGAGGCAGGTGTATCTCTGGCCAGCCTGGTCTATGTACTGAGTTCCAGGCCAGCCAAGGTTACATAGTGAGACCCTGTCTCAAAAAAATATAAGTATAAATATAAAAACTAAAGCCGTGTTTAATGAAAAATAAAAAAAATTAAAAAAAAGAAACAGAAGAAAAGCATGGGCAACAAGGTGACATCAAGGGCAGGCTAAGCCTCACAGGCTGCTCCTGTGTTCTTCTAGGGCTGCTACACTCACCTCTGACCTCTGCATTTTAGTTCCTGGTGCCTGGGGCTTTGATTACAGACAACCACATCACCCACTTCCCTGGTCCCCTCCTTACACATGATGGGTCCATAACAGAATAAGCGGACTTCCACAATAGCAGCCCTGGCCTGAATGAAGCCTCGCTAGCACTGCCAGGGCAGAACAAATAGGTCGGACAGAGTGAAGAGTTCAGAAGCCGCTCCATGTACACACAGGAACTTTGATAAGAAAAGTGACAAGTTTTCAGCCATGGCGTTCAGAGATTTGATTAACCATATGTTAAAAGCCATTGGTTGATCAAAGGAGGACTCTTTCGAATTACTTATATATTGAGTAAATTAAATAATTAAATATGTGATATTGGTGGTAGAAGACAATGGGGAAGTAAATCAAGAGATAAGAATTTCTGAAACTGACTGCCAGAGGGGTGGGAACCATAGAGGAAAGCTGATTTAACTAACAGATTAAATTTTTTCATTAACGAAAAGACATTGAGGATTAAGTTGACTGAATTACATTAGTTTGTATGTGTGTGGGGGGTTATGTGACTGTAAAGTGAAAAGACAACTTGAGAGAGTCATTTCTCTTCTAACATGTGTTCTCCAGTGATTGAGCTCAGGTCATCAGTCTTGGTGGCAAGCGCCTTGATGCACTGACCCATCTTGTCAGCCCAAGTTGAGCTATTTTCAAGACTGTGACATAACCTTTTATCTAAGAGACTGACATAATTAGGACTACTAGAGAGGCCAAATATTGGTGAAGTTTAGGGAATATAGAAATTCTCCAAATGGGGGGCTGGAGCGATGGTTCAGCCATTAATAGCACTGGTTGCTTTTGCTGAGGGCCCAGGTTTAATTCCCAGCACCCACATGGCAGCTAATAACTGTCCAGGAGAATCCAATGCCCTCTTCTGACCTCTGCAGGCATTGTACAACATGGGTGCATTTACAAGCAGTCAATACACTCATAAACATAAAATAAAAACAATAAATAAAATATTTCAAAAAAGAGAAATTCTCCAAATGGGATAAAGACTGATGTAGGCCGACTGGAAAGCAAGTTGACAATGTTTCTATCACAAAAATCCACGTTCTGTGATCCAGCAGTTCTGATGCTGGCCACATGCTCTCCAAAGAAATCCTAACAGCTTACACAAAGTCCTGTACAGTGACTTTTACATATGTGGCATTGTTAGCTTTAGCTAGCACTGGGAGCAGTTTAGGTGTCTGGTATTAGAACAGAGAAACAAACCAAAGAACGCTGTAAATGAGTGAAAAGGTGACACAGATGTGCAAAAAGCATCATAGTGGTTCCTTCCTAAAATATTCACTTCTGCATCTAAAAAAATGTTAGCAAAATCTCTAATTCAATAAATTTAATGGAAACACAAAAGAAAACATGTATCTTGCAGCACTTTAAACAAAGACAGCTTTTTTGAGGAGAAAAATTGAGTAAGGGATGCAGATGAAACAGACTAACTTGACAAAGCAGAGAGAAGAGTCTTATATTGATCCTGCGAGTAGCACAATTGCAGAGATTTGAGTCTGTGCTTAAATATTTGTTGAATTTGTGACTACTGTAACATAATTTGAGAACTATGAGTCTCATCTGTCTATACCAGATTTCCAACTATTAGGTCAAACCATACTAACTTGCAATGCTTTGCAGATCAAAATGGTTAAACATTAGCACTTTCATTTAATTTAGACTAATAGAAAGGGGGAAACGGGCATAATCATGGTACACGAAGAAATATGAATAGCTACTGCAAAGACTTGTAGGTGATAATATGAAATAGATCAGATTCAATCCTACTCTTTCAAGCTAGGCATAGTGGCACATGCCTTTAATCCCAGCACTCAGGAGGCAGAGGCAGGTAGATCTCTGTGAGATCGAGGCTAGTCTGGTCTCCATAGCAAATTCCAATTCAGCTGGGACTATAGAGAGACCCTGTCTCAAAACAGAAAAAAACAAAACAAAAAAATTCTACTCTTTCAAAATTTATTGAACACCATTGACGTCTAGACATAATTGATTTTGGATGACTAGTCTAAGATAAAAGAAGCAAGTTTAAGGATGTCAGTCATCAATTATATTTCCTTAAATGTAAGTTACTTTACTAGGCTACATGATATCTACATCTATCATTAGGTCAGCGTGTTTTTATTTACAATGTTTATGTGAACTGGTAAAATATCTTCACCACTGGAATATGCTCCAGATTTCAAAACGTATTTTATATAAAGTAAATTCTGAAAAAGAGATTATTCAGTCACCTTTGAATTTCAAAACCATGAGAGACATTGTGCATTCATTTGTTGTCCACATTTCCTCCCGTCTAGACTCTGAACAATGATTTTCTGTAAAATCTAAATTTCATTAAATTCTCTTCAATGTGTTGTCAGCAAATTTTATTTTCAACTGAGTTAATAAGGGCTGCCTTTTAGAACTAAATTTTTTTGAGTTATTATTAATGTCTTTCCAGAAAACTTCATCATCCTTAAGGCCACTGCTTATGCGATCAAGCACACATGAGGATGTTGGTTTTCAGCCAGCAGATACTGACTGTCCATATTTGTATAAACAAACAGGCATTGCATATCCTAAGAATGAAGTGAAAAGCTTAAAAGCAAAATGATGTTTTCATTCATTGCATTGACAGTATTTTTCTTAAATAACTGGAAAGTCAGGAAAAACAACTCTGTAATAGGTCAAAGTATGAGCTAAAATACTGAGTTGATAGGGTGGGGGAGACATAGCCCTCATGAGCTTCAGTGAATTAAGCTGGTTCCAGTTCAGTTTTGAACTTGCACCTATTAAATGAAAATCTCTGCTTGTAGCAATAAAAAGATGCAATCTTTGTTCACAGGGATGTGATAACCATAAAGGTCAGAGAATGGCAGCCCAGCCTGTTGTGCTTATCTTCAGCAGACTCTGTAAAATAACAGCTTCAATGGGAGCTTTACCTTGACGGGGAAGCGTTTCTTCTTTGGTGGGCGCCACACCGTGCCAGTTGAATGAATGAATGCACGCAAAGGCGTTAAGGAAGTCACCAAAACATACGCTTTGAGAATCACAGACAGTTCTTCGGCTCTGAAGATTGCCTCATATGGGGCAGGGACTGTTGTCTGGTTCCTAAAACAATAAAATATCATAGCCAGTACCGCATTTAGAATTGAGCATACAATGTGTGAACAAGCAAAGGCCTGGCAACGCCATTCTTTCTCTCCTTGGTGCCCAGCCTTATGGGTAGGTTTCCTTTCATTATTTCAACTGCGGATTATCCTCACCATCAGGGGGTGCACAGGCATGGAAAGAAGAGAGCAAATTTGAAGAATTCTCTACTCTGGAAAATTTAATCAAATGATTTCCCCCCCTAAGGAAAATAATACTTTCAATAAGGTTTAAAGATTTCTAAAAATTCAATTAGTCATACTCCCTGTGACCTCAGATTCATGGCACTGTCACAACAGAAGTGAATAAATAGGTTTGGGAGCCGTGAAGCTCTTTCTGAAATTTCCTCTCCTACCCCTGCTTACCTTTTCCTCTTTTGCAAAGATGTTGAATTCTTTAATAGCAGACAAGCTATCAGGAATATGCTAAAATACTTTCCTAACTAGTTCAAGGCTACCTAACAAATACTTTTCATTCTTGATAATTAAAGGTCAATTAAAGGACTGAACTATGAGGAAAACAAAAGAACAATATTAGTTTCTTGTTTTGTTTATGAAACAAGAGTACTTTGATCATAAGTTGTACAAAATATATAATATAGAATTATTTTCTTTTTGTACCATGTTTCTATATGAAAATATCAAAATTTAATGAAAAGTGTGCTGTTTTAACTTTTACAATTGTCATAAGCACAAGCTACATATGCATTCTCAACAAATACTATTCACTGCTGAAATACTACTTAATAATTATATGATTAGATGTGATAGACTCGTTTGTCTTGGATGATGTAATTAAAGCATCTCATACTTTTCCTATAATCTATTTAAAATCCTTTTCCGGGCTACATGTAGAATCGAAGAAACTAGAAAAGGACCATTGGTGGGGAGGGAAAAGAAAGATTTTAAGGGAGAGGGGCTAGTAAAACACAGGTGATATGAGGGGTAAATGGGGAACTATGGGGAGGGATGTGTAAGTGGGAGAGGGATGGAAGGGTAGAGCAGGGAGCGGACTAACACTAAGGATACCTGAAAAAGCCATATGGAAACCTACAATTTTATAAACATTGTGTGTATGTGTGTGTGTATGTGTGTGTGTATCATCTATCTATCTATCTATCTATCTATCTATCTATCTATCTATCTATCATCTATCTATCTATCATCATCTATCTCCATTCATATAGAAAAGTCTAATTGGAGTTATCCTCCACAGGCAATAATACTCCTCCCCAAAAGCAATAGGTTGCTCAATAAAAATCCCAGTGCCAGGGTTGGGCATGGTAGTGCATGCCTTTAATCCATTCAGAAGTAGATTCTGTGAGATTGCGGGCATCCTGGTCTACATAGCAAGTTTCAGGCCAACCAAGGCTATAGGGAGACCCTGTCTTAAAAAAATATTTCAGTGCCAGGTGTGGGATATCACCCTAAAGTTGTTGATCAGAGGTATCCTGGACACTCCCCAAATAATACAGGTTTTTGCCATTGTTCTTGGTTGCCCACCTGAACTTGACGGTAAAACTTTACTACTAAAGACATCACATACTTTGGTCACAGGACATGGAGAAATTGAGTTGGTATTGAAGAAGCTTTCTCTTTGATGGATAGCTTTCATAGTATTGGAAGGTGCTATATAGACTCCTGGGGGAATGAAAGTTATCAACAGTCTTACCCAGCTGAGACCCCTATGAACTACAGTAATCACCAGCATGGCAAGATAGGCCCTTAAGTACAATAGCAGCATGAATGTTATATAGATAACAACCAATTTCTGACTGGGTGTAAGATCCATTCCACAGGGAGAAATGCATGCCTGGTGCTGTCGATCTGGCCAATAGCCATGACTAGGGAGTTCACAGGCCACAGGTGTGAACTTGCTACTGTTATTCTACTAAATGGACATAATTCCAAACTGCCTTCTAAATTTCTATCTCTGTACCTATAGATTAGTGCAGCTATAAGACCTCATCAGAGAAATTTCTTAGTGCAGTGGATGGTGGTTAATGCAAAACCTCACAACTAGTCCGAGTGCAAAGAAGAAATGTCAGTGGGTGCTCAGTCACAAATGGAATGTCCGGGCTGGAGGAATAGAACAGCCATTAAAGGCTAGGGCTGACAAATGGAGCATCTATATCATCCCCACAAGGCTCAGGGGTTGTGGAGGAAGAGAGCGTAGGAAGATTATAAGACCCAGAGGTCAGAGACCAGAGTAAAACAGAGTCTTCTGGACATAATGGAACCACTGCACTCAAGAACTCACAATAGCTATGGTCGCCTGCACAAGAACTGCACAAGATCAAGTCAGTTAACATTCTAGCTTAGAGGGGTGAGGGGCAAACTAGGCCACACCCCTAACTGAGGAGCTATGGATAGTTAATGGCTTCTGGAAGAGAGACAATTTTCTTTAAGGGTATAGCTCCTGGTAGGTCAAGCATGCTCCAGAGATTGGCTTTACACCCATGAGTATATGGGTGGCACAAATTGGACATGGTGGGGGTGGGGAGAATGCATGAGGGGTGGAGGGGTGGGGAGGTGAGGGATGAATTTGAGAGGAGTTAGGGGGAGTAGCAGGAGATGAATATAATCAGAATGCATTGTACAGAATTGTTAAAGAATCAATAAAAATATTATATTAAAAATCATTTTCCTGGGGTACCTTGGATAACTTGATACCTTTTATTAGATCCTGAGAATCATAAAAAAATTAACAGCTAGGAAAAATGCATTCATCTGTTCCCATAGACATAAGCAATATCATCTGAGTATAAAATGGAAGTTAAATTTTTATAGTTTTACATCATCAAGGTTTTAAATTTAATTTATATTAATGTAACTTACTAGATAAGAGTACAATTTATCTACATGTTTATTCTATAGCAAGAGAAGTTTGAATTGGCCTAGGAGTAAGTCAATGGTGTCATATTTTTTTTGTTTCTTAAGAAATGATAACTGAACATCCTCCCTGTTCCACCCAACCCCCATGCCCAGTCTCCCAGATCTGCTCTCTCATTTTTCTTGTCTCCTGTAATGCATGCTGGATAGAATAACTCCACATGATTAGCTTACTTACTGTTCACGTTGCCAGTCCCATGGTTTCCACACATGTGACTTTACTGCTTTTAAAGGGTGACTCGGTGGTGATTGTAGTCCCTGGTCCAGGCACACAGAAGGACTCACTGGAAGTCCCATTTCTGAAAAGATTCACAAGCACAAGACAGTCATTCCGTTGGAATTGCTTCCAAATTAGATCACGATGTGTCAAAATTACAGGGTCCTTCCCTGAATTCTGAATCCAAGAGAGGACTTTACATTGGAGGGTGTTCTTTGTCATAGAACGGGGAAACAACTATAAAAACTGGTGCTCACTTTGCCCCTCAGAAGGAAAACTAGGTTCCATGTTTCTAACCATCCAACCTCAAGCTGACCTATATCCATGCTGCAAAGGGATGCACTCTCACTACAGAAGGTAGGAGCGGACTTGCTTGTGATATGAATAGCACTCAGAAAACTTGAGTTGATTTTCTGACAACATACTGCTTCACATGCTCAAGTTGGTTATGCATCATAACCTTGGAAAGCTCACAGCAGTTCTTAACTAGTTCAGAAAATTGGCAATATACAAAAATAAAGAACAGTGATTTACTTCAGAAGTTATATCAAAGAGTTTAAAAAATAAAAGTATTAGATATACTTGGTTAGAAATTCCAAAAGTTACAGCAAACTATCAAATAAAAGCAAAAATCATCTTTCTACTTAAGAATATTGCCCATCAAAAACAAATGCTTACACATCACACACACACACACACACACACACACACACACACACACATTCTCTTTATTCTGTTTAGGAAGAATGTCGTCTAGCAGATAGCACATAATCCTGAGTCCTGGGTGCTAATTCCAACACTAACAGTAATTAGCAGTGTGATCTGGGCAAATCACCTCATAGGTGCTGAACTTCAAGGTCCTTAGCTATAAATAATAGTTAACACTACACCAAGTATTACTTTGAGTGTTTCACAGTAAGATAATAACTCTTTTAGTTCTCAACATCCCATGAGGTTTGTGTTACCTGAATTTCATATCTGAGGAAACAGGGACAGATAAGGTAACACATAAAACCATATAGTGGCAAAAAATTCGAACCCAGGCAGCCTGACTGCAGTAGCCACACTTAGAACCATAGAATTGCATGTTCTGTGCCCTCAATTCCTATACTAGCCTATAAAATAACTTATATTTGGTACCCAAGACTCATTTTCTGTTTTGATATACAGCTAAAGAAATGAAATAATTATGAATAAGTAATTAACTTAAATTTTCATTTAATTTTAATAATTATTTTATTGATTTTTGTGAATTTAACACAATATATTTTTATCATATTTAGATACACTACCTTATCTCTCCATAGCACCCTCCACTGAATTTCATGTGTGTGTGTATGTGTGTGTGTGTGTGTGTGTGTGTGTGTGTGTCTATAGAGTCAAATTACACATCAGCTTTTGAAATTCGGAAAAACACAAAGGCATTTACTTTCTTCCAGCACATAAATGGATATAACTGCTATAAATACCAGTGTGCCTGTACTAATGTTATCAATGCAGGTATTTGTGTTTTTTTATTTCTATAAGACAGAAACCCTAACATTCCATGTCTAGCTTAGTTCTCAGTTTTATGTAGGTTACCCCATACATATTTCTCAGTGGCTTATAGTATTCTTGTAAATGAATACATAATTAATTAGGGCATTTCTTTCTGTTGTGCTTTTGTTTTTGAAGTGTTTTTCCTTTGCTATTTTATTATTATTTTTATTTTATGAGTATGCGTTTATTGCCTGCATGTAGTGCACCTGTGTCGTGCAATGCCCGTGGAGGACAGAAGAGGCTGTCAGATCCCCTGGAACTGGAGTTAAGGAGAGTTGTTAGCTGCCATGTGGGTGCTGGGATTTGAACCTGGGTCTTCTGCAAGAACAGTCAGTGTTCTTAACCACTGAGCCATCTCTCCAGCCCTGTTTGCTATTTTAAAAACACTATGACGCGCAATCCCATACAACTCTTTTGGTATACACGCACAAGTTTATCCAGATTTTTGTAGGTATGTGAGATTACTAGGTCAATGGGTAAATGCACTGAAGATTTGATAGACATTATCAAATTACCTTCTTAAAAGGTGGTTCCAGTTTCCATTCTCTCCAAGAGCATATGAGAGATGTTGTTTATTTACTCCAGGGCACAGTGCTTTATTTTCAAGTCAAATAATTTGTCTAGCTTTCAAAGTGGAATGGAGTTTTAAATTGTTTTCCCCTTGTGCTCATTTCATCAATAGTAGCATAGTCTAATTTAAAACATTTCACTCTCTCAAGTAAAAGTCACAGAAGTCAAGTTGTTCAATGTTTCTCATATCTCATTATTTAGCACAGTGTGATCTTGCCCAAAAAACAAAAAACAACAACAAAAAAACCTGCTAACCTATTAGTAAGGCTTCCCTACTAATGAAATTCTATATATCATAACAAAAACATTCAAATTGCTTTGTTTTTGAAGTTGACAAATGAAGAGCCATATAGGACAATTTCTTTCCTTGGAAAAGTTACTAAGGGGAGAAATGGGGAAAATGGGGTATTTAAATGGAAGTGGGAGAGGGAGGGTTATACAAGGAACTATGAGGATGAAGGGGAAGAAGGAGCTCAAGAGAGGTGGGACTATAGGAGACAGGTATTATTAAGGGAGAAATGGGGAAAGTGGGGATACTTTAAATGGGGAGGGGGTAGAGGGAGAGTTAAACAGGGAGAGAGAGAGAGAGAGAGAGAGAGAGAGAGAGAGAGAGAGAGAGAGAAAGAGAGAGAGAGAGAGGATAGATAAATAATGCCTATCTAGTGCAATAAAATAATACCTGGCTAATGTGAAAAACAAGAGGGAATCATATTGGTCCAAAAACCTGCTGAAAATTTTACACATACAATAGCGCTACAGGAATACATGTATATAGCTAAAGGCTACATAATGAGAAACAGTGCCAAATAGAAGAAACCTTCCTTTGAGTTGTTGGCCAGGATAGTCCAAGAGACCCAAAAATTACACAGGATATTGCCACAGCTCTTGACTGACTCCCAAAACTTGATAAAAGATAGTACATACTTTGGACACAGGATTTGTAGCAATGGAGCTGGAACTGACCTAGATGTCACATCTCCTGAAGGCTAGCTCTCATAGCTTTGGAGAACACTATGCAAGCTGCTAGGGGAGAGCATCAGTGGATCGTCCAACCCCAGATTTAACAACCACATTAATGACTGGCACAGAAAACGACATTGGTGCAGTAGTGGCACTTTTATCTGGGGGGTAATCAACAGCTACCTATTTGAACATAAAGCTCACTCAGTGGGAGGAAACTCATGTGTGGTACTGTAAACATAGCCAAATACACGAGAGGTCATACAGCTTAGAGAAAACCCCAATGCTGTCACATCCCTAGACAAATGTAATTTCTTACTATGTACAAAATATGGATTCTTATATTTACAGACAAATATCCCAATCACCAATCATCGAAGAGGCTTCTTTTGCAACAGATGAAGATTATTGCAGCGTTCCACAACTGGTCATATACAGAGATTGTCTGTGAATTGCCCAAGCCTAAGTGGCACATCTACAATGCAACCTCTGTACCTAAGGCTCATGGAACACAGAACAAGGGATAAAGAGAACATTAATGAATCTCTCAATTCTCATCAATGAAGCTCCCTCATGCAACAGAGGGACAGGGACACAAAAGGTCACAAAGGGCCAAAGCATAGAGATTAAGAGCCTGCAAAAGGAGGGTCTTGGACAAGAATCCTATATAAAACTTCACCCAGGGCTCAGGGACCATTGTAGAAGAGGGGGTGGAAATATTGAGCCAGGGAGAAGGTGCATGACCATAGGGAAACAGTCCTACAGGCTCCTGGGATTCTTCTTATATAAACACAGCAAAGGTGTCAGCATGCCCAAAACCCATGCAAACTCAAGCAGACAAAAACCCAGCATAGAACTTTGTAAATGAGCAGCAGGCCCAAAGTTTAATCAAAGCATTATTGGCAGTTGATTATTGCTGGATAAGAAAGAATTGATTTTCTTAAAGGGAGGGACCCTAGATAGGCTGACTAGACTTCAATGGATGAACTTGCACTGTGGTACGTCTGGGGACATTAACTTGACAAGTAGGCCTTAACACAAATGACAGAATGTATGAATTCCAGTGTGGGTGTGGGCTGTGGGAGGATGCCAATGGGGAACAGAATCAAATACTTGTTGGGAGGTATCTTCTTAGATCTTCTGTTTGACATATCTATGCAAGGCTTTAACGGGTCAGTCCAATCTACTTCTCTCCCATTCCACCCCCTTCTTCCCAACCCCTTAACATATTGAAAAAGCCTAGGATTCTCCTAATAATAATGCTTAAAATTACTTGTTTTGTGAGGGAATTTGGGAAATGAGGCTCTGTCACACAGATAGTCTTCAAATTCTAATACATTAACATGCAAATGTTGAAATATTTAGGAAGCAGTTAAACATAAAGGGCCTCGCATGCAGCCACCAGGTTTTCCTGCCCCGCAGCATAGAGACAGTGTATAATAGATTCAGATGTGAAATACTATCTGGTGAGCAGTGCTGTACTTTTATTTATTGCCTACTCTTAACTTATTTTGGAGAGCACTGAAGCTTGTAACTAGTCGCCTGGAGTAAAAATGGACCATTTGTTAGGCTGCACTAAGAGTGCATTTCTCATGCTTTCTAATATCTGGTTGGCTATGTCCTAGTGCCCGCTAAGTGGGGTACAGTTACACGAAGAGGAAGACTGAACCAGAGCTAAGAGACTTGACTTTGCATTTCTGTTCTCGCCAATTAACATTTCCTGGGTTTGTGACATTGTCAAGGAGCATTGTAGATTCCAGAATGTGATTCCCATGAATCTTCTGAACTTTCTATAATACTAAACACAATGCTGACGCACAACGTGTGCTTGTGTTAGCAATTGGCTACTTTGAAGAAGTTTAGTCAACTTGTGGTTATAAACCAAAATGTTATCCTATTTAGTTAAAAATCTTTCTTTTTGTTGCTTATTCCTCCTGTTCTATGTAGTGTGTAATTTTATACACCACAGGTAAAGCAAAACATTGGAAAACACTTGTGCTCGAAGGATTAGCT